CAGTAAAAAACAATCGCTTTTCTTGCCACTATCCCCACTGGTAAAACAGCGACAGGTCACTACAAAACACTCGTGGTTGGTGTCTGAAAAGCAGCTGGAAAAGAAGCAACGTCCAGCTAAATCACTTTTGTTGGTCTCGAATAGCTGCGTGCAGTGGTCAGCAGCTTGGCAGGTGTCTCCCCTAGATATTACGCCATCCATCTTCTCCTCTTCCCATTGACAAAGTCAGCTTGTATACTACACGTCAGTTTGTTTTAGAAACACGGATATGCATGAAACATTAGTGGTTTGCAGAAACATATCATGGAAACATTTTCTTCTGGCGACTGGGCTGACAGTATAAGTCTTCTTTATGCAAGGTAATAAGTCTTTGATAAGTATCTTTACTGTCGCTGCCGAGCTGGGTAATGTCTGTGCAACACAGTTTGTAGGAAAGAAGAAGTAATTTATTAATCCCTCAGGGGGATTTGTTTCCACTCTATTGTTTTGTTTTACACACACACACACACACACACAGCAGGCCTGAAATAGACACACGTGCACAAACAGGACCTACATATGCTTTAATGCCACTGTAGCTGTGAGGGAGAGCAGGTTCGATCCCAGCTCCTCCAGTCCTCACATCAAAGTATCCTTGAGATATTCAACCTCCCAATGGCTGTTCCATCGGTGTGTGTGAGTGTGTGTGAATGGTTACTGACTAGCAGGTGGCACCTTGTACGGTAGCCTCAGCCACCAGTGTGTGAATGTGACGTAGTGTAAAAGCGCTTTGAGTGGTTGGAAGACAACAATTTCAGTCCATTTAATGTATAGAGAGATGTCAGAGTGAGGGGATTGCCTAATAGGATGGTGCCCTGAACAGTTAGGGGTCCTGTGCCTTGTTTAAGAGCACCTCGGCAGTGGCCACAAGACGAACTGGCACCTCTCCAGCTACCAGTAAACACGCTCAAATAGTCGGAACTGGACTTTAACCGCAGACCCTGTGGTTCCCAAGCTGGTTTCACAATGAAGCATCATACTATAAACTGTTGTAAGGAATCTATTTGACTTTCTTGGCAAACTCTTATTCATTAAAATAAGATTAAACATGTAAATGTGGAAACAAGCACAGACAGGCAATTTCATTTAACATTTTTAATGGCTTTTAATTCTTTATTTCTCCACAATGAATCAAAGCAATGTTGCAAATCAAGTCAGAAACCAAATAAATGTTACACAAAACACATCTTCCTCCTTTGAGAAAAGTTATTTACACTAAACAGTTATTTTTTAATTATGTTTTCCTGGACATTCAGTTTTTAAAGGTGATATTCTGTCACCTTTTACATTTGACTTTAATTCTATGATTATTTCATAAAACTTTAGCTCCCTCTTCATCGCCAAAATAAGCAATGACAAACGCTGTTGATTCTGCTGCGACCAGAATCAACTCAATTACTGATGATAAACAATTAAATAATAACACACAGTAGGTGAACACAACACAAGCCACACCTGTACATTGTGATGCAATCCAATACAATGAATATACAATAAATACTACCTCTCTAAAGCCTATAATGGCCTGTGTTTCTGTGATGGATTGTGTCATTCTTAAAAAGCACCTTCTTTATATTCTGTCTAGACAGCTATCAGATGAGCAGCGCGTCACAAAACATGACTTTTTAAACAAGGTGTTTTCTTTATTTGTGCGTATGCTGCCTTTAAATCAAGACACTCAAACATCAGCAGGTTGCACTTTGCACTAGAGGTCAACCCAAGGCACTTCCAAAGCATGCAGATTATGTCACAATTTTACATATTATTATGTAACCACTAAAACAAAGCTTATCATTGAACTATTACCACATTTTCCTATTAACACTGTACAAGCTCTCTATTCACAGGTTTTACTGGAAGCCATGTTGTGCTGTCAGCCCGAAGGGATTCACGACAAATCACAGTTTCAAATCTTTATTCATCATGGTGTGCTGTTGGCTTTGCTACATTCAAGTGCTTCTTGAATTGCAAGAGTAAAATAAAGCAGCTTTTGTTACTATAATATTTATTTTTATACTCTATAAAACACTTTATTTTTCTTGAATGAACTCCTTAACTGTGCCTGCACAGGCGAGGAGATGGAGGGATAAAATCTATCCAAAATTTCTGGCACCAAAAGCCTTTCTGAATCTCTATCATTTAACACCAAGATTTAAAACTTATTAAGTCATATGTGGCACATTATGGCACCATATATCAAACTGACAATATGACAGGTGGCTCATAGAAAGGCTACTTGGTGCAAATGCTTTGAATTCAGTCTACATGCAGAGAGAAGCAAGCTAACAGTTTTGAAAAGCTTGTAAAATGTGCTTCTTGCTTCATTCTCTGCATTGAGCTTTAATGTCTGGCAGCAGCCTTTACAAATCTAATTGTCAGGGTTATCTGCGTTCTGCTTTGTGTTATGTCTGATTTGGTTTCCTTCATTTTGGGGGAACTTTCTTCTGGGCACAGAAACATAAAACACCAAAAGTCATTGTTAAATTACATTTGCTGGTTTCATACTAGAAATCTTTTGGCAACAGACAGAGTTGAAGCATTTTTTTAACCACTTAGGGCATTCGAAATAAGTTATTAACATGAGAATGACATACAAACCTAATCCCCAGAAAAATGTTGGCACTGTAAGTTTCTGTGAACCACGGATATGTTACATTTGCACATTATTGTGTGGTGGATGCTTTGAAATTTTTTGTCTCAACAGCACTGTGTTTAGCCTGTGGTTAGGTTAAGGCACAAAAAACACTTGGTCATGTTTTGTCTTAAAATAACCCGTTCTGGGGTCACTATCCCTGCTAGAGACAGAGCAGTGTTTCAGTAAAAAACTGTTGCTTTTCTTGACACAATGCAGCGACTTCTCAGCAAAAACCAACCGCTTTTTGTGGCACTATCCTTGCTGGCAAAACTAGTATTGTCGGCTACAAAACATTCACATTTGGGGCCTTAAAAGCTGCTGGAAACACAGCGCTGACTCATTAAATCACAACCAGTTTTGTTGTTTGTCTGTCTGCAGTGCCATTCACCATTCCCTCAACACCAAATGACAAGGTCAGCTCATATACAACATCACTTTAGAAATGTTGATAATATACAAATGAAATGTGCAAATATAAATTATATTTGTGTTTATTTTTAGGAACATACAATGCCAACATTTTTCTCTGCCGACTGGGCTGGACATACAGTATCATCACCTTTTCAGTTAATGTGTTACTTGTGAGCAAATAGTTGCTTAATTGCATATCCGGCGGTTACGGAGCAACATTAGCATTCATCTGAAGTTGTGTTCTTGGCCACCTGGCTAACAAAGTCTATTTTTCACTCTCTTTTAGCTCGGTTTTGGTCTCCACCAACTTCTGAGAAAAAATGTCTGATTTTTTTAGCTGCTAAATGCTCCTCTGTGTTCACCAGCTAGTTGCTAAAGTGCAGTTTGATGCTGAGCAGGTAGTGTACAGTGGGTTTTTACTGCTTTTTCTCTAAAAAAGAACAGCTGCCTGCTGTAGCTGAAAACGACACTACTGTATCAGAGCTGTGAGAGTGAACCACAACAGGTAAGTTGTGGCCTGGACAGCTAAACAATGAGCTGAAATTACAAACAGCTCCATAAAACTGAGGCCATACACTGCTATTGCAAAAAAAGCAGGTTGAGGGATTTTTTTCATGGTGTTGTATTGAACCGTGTGATTACTAAGCCATGCAAACACAGGAATCAAATAAATATAACCTTTTTAAATGAGTGAGTGAGTGATCGCGAATGGTGGTAGGCTACTATAATTTCATACAGTCAGATACTGACTCCTCCTTTGTTTACAGATAAAACAAACGAAAAATAACTTTCATTTATGAGCTTTAAAGGTGTTGTCCTCTGGATTTCTTTTTACATATTGGACAGGGCCAGGCTAGCTGTTTCCCCCTTCTCCTGCAGTCTTTATGCAAAGCTAAGCTAATCGGCTACCTACAAATTAACACACAGAGATGAGAGTGGTATCAATCTTCTCTTCAGCTATTCCAACTAACAGCCTACCCACCGGGGGATTATTTGCAATACTACATGCATGTTGCTTATAATGTTGCTTGTTGTTCTTATGTGAGCATGCTGCATTCAGCAAATATCTTCTTCAAGAGCAGAGACTACTAACCTCAGATTGTCATACTGCATGTTTGCAAAGTTAAATATGGAAGCAGTGGCTGTGGTTGCCACTTATTTTTAGGTCCATTATCTTAACATCACAACTTAAAGCCAGACTATGTAACTGTTGCTGAACAGTAGCCACTGCTGCAGGATAACTGCAACCCAATCACCATGATAAATGTTGGTAACTATTTGCAAACCACAGATATGCTACATTTGTGTGTTATTATGCAGTGGTTGAAACTTAACACCGCTGTTAACATGTGGCTAGGTTTTGGCAACATTTCTTTCTGGCAACTGGGCTGATAACTGTCACTTAAAGGAGCTATATGTAAGAAGTCTAAAGCAAATAGTCATAAAATCCTCCTAATATGTCACAGAGACTAAGGAATAATGTTCATATAACATACTGATCTCACCGACAACAATAGTACGGCCAGAATATTTACATCTAAAAAAATATTTTGCGGTCCGCAAATCATGTTTATGTTTTGAATTTATGTTTTGGCCTGTTGCACCACCCACCGCCGTCTACCAGTCACGCAGTCAGTAGAGTCTCAGCATCAGTTACAGTTACGACTGAGCTACAGCAGCACGGCAAGCAGCATTAGCAGTGTCCCAGTACATAGCATTAGCAGTCTCCTCAGCTGTATCCCGGCAGCAGCGTCAGCAGCAGAGAAGCTGGACTTGCTTGAACGGTCCGCTGGAAAACTGAAGATCAAGGACGCAGCGACGTAGCTCTGCCACGGCAGCCGCCCGTGGGCAAACAAAACAGTCTCCAGCGTGCCGCTGTCCAGCAACCTCAAATCTGTAAGGGAGGGGGGGCGGACACGACTCGCGGCAGTATTTTGAATTTGAGTGCAGTAACTGTTTTGGCCACATTCTTACATACAGCACCTTTAAAGAAGAATCATAAAGTCAGCAAAATGACTTTTTGATTATAGAACAATATTTAGTTAAAGTTTGTAACAGTTGCTTACATTTAGCGAGCAAAAGCTAGTGGTCTTACCGGATAGTGTAATGCAGTAGAAGCAAAAAACCCTGAGTGTACTGAATTGAGCAAAAGTATCTTTTAATGTCTATAAATTCAACTTTCAGTTTGTAGAGGAAGAATGTGTAGTCTATTTCATTTTGTCTTTAAAGTTACACAGTTTCTCTAAACGTCTCATTTTCTTGAGATAAAAGCTTTAATTATGATCATAATTGACTCTTTTTTCAGGATAACAATTTATCTTTTGTCATTTATAGTAATTAATCTTGAAGGGCAGGTTCACAGATTTTTAAATTTAAGTTTGCCTCAAAATGATACTTTCAGACAGACAGAGCAAGGCAAACAGGAGAATTACATCAATGCTACGGCTACAACTACAAAAAAAAGTAGATTTAACTGTACAAAGCACCTCGGTGGTGGTAGGTGACCTCATCAAGATTTAATGTTGAATAGGATGACTATTGTTTTAAGACAGACTTGAAAAAATGTGAACCTTTCCTTAAAAGTAGACATTAAAAACATGTCTAAATTATATTACTATGTCAAGATGACAAATATTGCTCATAACTGTAACATACAGTTACATACATAACATTCAAAATGCCACTGACAGACTCCACAGAGCACATATAACTTCATCACACTCGCTACCTGTGCGTTTTAGAATCGATTTTAGGATTTTAATTAGCACTTTTAAGGCCCGGATGGGATTGGCCCCTGAGTATAATGATACATTTTTAAATCCCATATGAGCCTGAGTGTAGCCTAAGATCCTCCAGTGGGTCCCTTTAAGAGATTCCAAGATCTAGATTTAAAACCAGGGGTGACAGGGCCTTTGCTGTCAGGGCCCCGTCACTCTGGAATGATTGGCCGGAGGAGATCAGGCAAGCCACATCTTCTTCCTCTTTTAAAAGCACACTTTTTGAAATGTACTTTCACCTAATGTGCTTTTACTTTACTTATTTAAATAAGTTATTTGGTCTATTTTGTCAGGTTTACATATTTCAATTAAATACAAAATGTCACTCAACTGAGTCAAGTAATTCTGACATAAATTATGTAATTTAACCTAATAGAAACTGAGACAACCTGACTACGAAACTATAGCTCACAGAATTTACCTAAAGTTTATGTCATGATTGTTAATTAAGTCTATAAAGTATAGATATGCTAATAAACATCAACATAAATTAAATTAATTTGATTTAATTTAATTCAATGAGCAAAAGTTACATAAATTCTCAGACTATTCATATCCGTTTTTATGTCATTTTATTACATATATAGTACTTTTGTACTTTATGTTAGAATTACTTGACCTAATGGAAACTTTATATGTAATTCAAATATGTAAACCTGACATTAGACCAAACATTTTTAGTGCTAATTCTTTGCTGTGTATGACAAATAATCAGGTCTATTGTTTTATTATGTTAATATATTTTATATTATGTTCTTTTTATAATGCTGTATTTTACTTTTATCTGTTTTCATTTTTGCTCGTATTAAACACTTTGTATCTATATTAGTATTATTATTAGTAGTAGTAGTAGTAGTATCATCATTATACAGTATGTGTAGGCCTGTTGTTTTGGCTTGCAGTTTTGCTGTCAGCTGTGATGGATTACTTCGTTTCAAGCACATTCAATAAACTAAAGAGTTCAGTTACACTTTGAAAAACGTCTGGAAATACTCTTGTAGACCGACTGTATGTTATTAGTGGGATAAAACATGCAGAAACACTGTATGGTCCTTGAATTATTATGTTATTTGTCACTTAATGCTTTGGGGACTGGAAGCTTGTCAGTCCATCACATGTACTCATATTCTCACTTATGGGCAATTTGAGTGTTCGTGGAGAAAGCAAACCCCCACGGTCAGAACAATATGTAAACTCCACACTGGAGGGAGCAGACTGAGACTCATGCTGTGAAGCTACAGTGCTAACCACTGAGCCACCTTTACATGTTATTTTTAAATGACCATGTGATGAAATCTAGTGAAAAGTCAGAGAATATATTCCAAACGAAAAGCCTGGCATTAGGTCAAACTGTAGACCTACTGCTGGCGATAACCTTAAAGGTAAAATAAATTTTTGCTGTCTTGTTTTGTTTTTGCTAGATGTCATAGTTTCCAAACTGGGGTAAGGTTGCATTTACATCCTCAGAATATATTTTTAAACTACTAAAAACAGTAGTCAAAACAGACTATTACATAAATTGCTCATTTCAGTCCCATTGATTGTTTTAAGCAGTGTGTCCATTGGGTGTGTATCCATTAGCCGCATGCCCATTGGCTTGGCTCTTCAAATCAGACTGGTTTAGAGGAGCATTTTCTGATTGGCTGGCAGCCAACCTATCATGCTTTGCCTTTGCCCTGATCAGGTTTCTACGGTGATAAAACAGATAGCCGGGCAACAGGAAGCCAGTCAGGGAGAAGATGAGGAGGGCAAAATTGATCTGTTGTAAGGAGAGACACGTCAGTGCATGTGATAAACTTGTTATTAAACCTGCTGTATGTATTTGCATATGTCTGTCTTCTCTTTGATTGTGTGTGTGAGTGTGTGTGTGTGCTCCCTACCCAGTAAGGATCTCCTTTGAGGGGTCCCAGCATCACTATGAACAGAGGCTGTTGGAGCAAGGCGAAGGCAGCACTGATCATTGACTGCAGGCCTGTCAGTGTTCCAAAATGGTTAGCTGGATACCTGCAGCAGAATGGGAATTTCACAGTTAAAATATTGTGAGCCTAGCACAGTAGAATAATCGAGTACCAACTCCACAGAGCACTGGTGAAAGGTAAATAAGTATATTTACTTGAGTACTTTACTTAAGCATAAATTTGAGGTATCTGTACCTCTGTAGGTATTTGTCTGCAACGCAGTAATGTAACCAAGCAGCAACCTGTGGCACTGAAAAATTAAGCCAATGCGAAAGTGCCAAAAACTGCAGTTCACTGAACTACCACTTGAGGTTGGCTCCAAAACAGGTGACATGGTAAAATGCCTGACTTTACAGGATATATAAACGTATTTACAGCCTGGTACAAAAAACAGTTTTGGTCTTTATAGCTTATTTCAACGTTCATGACAACTGTACAGGGGGTGAATTTTTATGCAAACCAACCATTTACATTTTATCAAGGCCCAAAGTTACGCATATTTAAGGGTGGGGCCACTTTAGTGACAGGCTGTCTGCAAGGCCTTGATACAGTTTATGAGTCAAACCATCCACAGCTCCAACCTCTCCAAATATGGTCACTTCTTGCTCCAAAAATCCAAGATAGCAGCAGCTGAAATGCTGAATCCAAGGCTTCCAAACAGCAGTCCACAAACGAATGCATGATGCCATGGTAGCTATGTCTATTATCCATACAGTCTATGTAAATAAACATGTTCACAGGCTGGTACAAAACAGATCTGTAGAGAGACAGATTTGATTAGATAGTCCATAGGGACTTGGTTGGGTTGGGAACCGGAGGGTTGCTGGCTCAAGTCCCATCCGGACCAAAAATGGAGTATGGACTGATAGCTGGAGAGGTGCCTGTTCGCCTCCTAGGCACCTCAGAGGTGCCCTTGTGCAAGGCCGAACCCCCAACTGCTCAGGGTGCCTGTCGAAGGCAGCCCCCTGACTCTGACATCTCTCCATTTAATGCATGTACAGGTCCTGTTTGTGCATGTGGGTGTATTTTCGGCCTGTGTGTATATGACAACAGAGTGAAAGAATTGAAATTCCCCTCAGGGATTAATTAAGTATATCTTCTTCATCTTCTTCTTCTTCTAATACTACTACTACTAATGATAATATAATAATAATAATAATACATTTTATTTTCAGAGTGCTTTTCATAGTACTCAAAGACACTTTACATTAGTTAAAAACAATCATAATAAATTATTAATAATGATCATTTTAACTCACCCATTTAAATACTATTAAGGCTTAAAATTATGCATATTAAGGGGTATGGGATCTTTAAGTGACAGGTGTTTGCTGTCTTTTGACAAGGCACTACCATGGCAACAGCGCTGGTTTGATTATGTAACCACTGTGTAACCCCAAATTCACTAGCTGTCCCTATTTCAGTGTGTTTTCAGCATAGACTGTAAAAATAATGGACTCAGCTACTGCAAATTCCCCCACTGGTTTTTGGACTTCCGATTTGAAGCCTCCAGGTCCCCACTTCAGCTTGTTGCCATCTTGTTTTTTGGAGCCAGAAGTGACCATATTTGGGTGAGAGGCTGGCGCTGCAGAGAAGCAGGGAGTGGATCTGACAGAGATGCCGAGGACACTATCGGCGAAAAGCCCGTCACTCAAAGCGACACACCCTTATTTATGCATATCCTCAAGGCTTATTAAATGTTAATGGGTGAGTTATATAAAAACACACCCCCTGTACAGTGTCTTGATTAGGGAAATTAGCCATACAGACCAAAATTATTTTTTGTATCAGGCCTATAACTCCTGGGGTCTCAAGATTATTAACGGGCCCCTGGAGCCTGCCTCAAATGGCCGTTCATAGAACTGCAGTTTTTGGCACTTTTGTGTTGGCTCATGTTTTTGCTCAGTCAGATTATCACCTGTCTTAAACTGTGTGGAAAATGTGAACTAGTGAATTATGTCAAACTGTAAAATTGTGTAATTTTCTGGTTTTGCATCTGTCCAAAATAGTTGCTGCCCCACCATTTATTCCACCTAGAAACATCACTTTGTAGGGCTGAGGGTAATTACAGAGTCAGCTAATATCTGTTAGTGTAGCTTTAAACATGACAGTGGTGTCACTCACACAGCAGCATAGAGACCTCCACAGCAGGAGTGGATAAATCCTCTCACTATGGTGTGCAGAATGTACGACACCAACTAATAGAGATGGAAAGACACAGCAGAGAACAAATTAATAAATGATCATCGAAAGTGTCCCTTAGTGTTTCTTTATCTCTGTGTATTAGTATAATGTGTAAAACACGTATTCCTGTTCAGTGTTTTTCTAACCTGTAGGGGCAGGTTGTCAATCAAGGAAAGTATTCCGAAGGTGACCAATAAGAGGTTAGTGAAGATGAAAGCTCTCATGGCATTGGTCAGTTTCTGGATCTTCCTGTCTCTCTTCGGGGGATCTGATTGGCTGAAGGGGACAAAACTTTCTCAGCCTACAATAGACATTGTCTTGCAAACTGCTGTACAAAAATGTATACATGTAGCAACACAATACCTCTTTTCTATTTGTGTGTTTGCGTTCTCCTCTTCACACTCCATCAGCCTCCAGTCCATGATGTAGCCAATCAAAGGACAGGTCAATAGACACAGCAGCTGCATTGTGCCGAAGATAGATGAGTAGAAACCAACTGGGGAGGACACGCAGAGATAGAGTGAGGTTCATAGAAACACGTGGACAGAAGCAAATAGGAGACAGGTTGGAGTCTCTACTTATGGTACTTATTGTGTTATTTAAGGTTTCATTCCCCGTATGAAGGTTGAAATGGTATTTTAAATCCCATGCTGTTAGGAACACAATGCAGACGGAGAAGCAGTGGGTCTAAAAATACTGGGATCAGTCTAACACAATGTGCAAGGACCAAGGACACCAAGGACATGACTTTAGTTACATATTGCTTCCTGTCCAACTAATGAATACAATATCATAACAACAATAAGTGGTTGTCTTTGTAATATTTTGATTGAATTCCACACACGTAACCTTCAACTAGGACCATATTGTCCATGTTTATGTGTTTAAGTTACTTGTTGGAACAGCAAATTTTGTCCAGCATTGAGAAAGACCACTGCAACTGGCAGCAACAAAACAGGCTGCAAAGTAACCACTCAGGACAGATTTATTCATATTAGGCTTCTGAGAGAGCATTTAGAGCACTGGGGACAAGAAATTATTTTTAAAATAATTATTTTTCATAATAATTTCTAGTGTCCAGTGGCCTAAATGCTCTCTCAGCTTGATATGAATGAATTTCTAACTGTGTTTTGAACAAGTAAACACACAAAATACAACTGGGAACATCAGTCAAAACACTGTAGTAACTCCACTCAGCCCAGTCGATAGTAGGCACTTGTTAACGTAAGGACAGCTTGTCTACTGTTAACACTGAGTATCTTGACTCTTACCTTGTTCCTTCGCCTCATTCACCATCTCTTCTGAGGCTGAAAGAAACAAGTTTCAGGTCAACTCCACAGATGGTTTTACACAGTGACAATGTTTACATGCACCAAATATTCCAGTTTCTGCCTTTAATCCAAAAAAAAAAATATTCCTAATAAGCTGTTAACATGGTGAAAATGATTATTCCATTGATATTCCTGTTTACATGCAACCGTGCGTACTCCGATTAATGTGCCCTAACATGTTGCTTGTTTCATTTTGCTTTGTTGCATCATGACAGGATTTTTCCAAAGTTTTCCACAAGTGGTGGACTTGATTGACCGTGTGAACACAGCCTACCTCTTTTATTCCTTCAAACACCTTCTTGAAAAGGTTGGCATTGGGTTATTTACGCATATCCAAAAACCTGCTGATTTCCAAGTCTGTCATAAAGCTTAAAAGCAGGTCTGTTTCTCCTTCCAATCACAAATGTGGGCTTTTCTTTAGGGCATGCATCTCTACTCCAGGCTTGCAAATTGTTGGTGAGTTGGTCTGTGGACAACCAACACATTCTCACTCTGACCTCAATACACATATCAACGTTTGGTCATGGACCTTCCACGTCCAGAATTGATATGAAAGCTACCTTGGCTGAGTTGGTTGTGAGTGAGTGTAACAAACAAGAGGTTGTGTACTGCAAACTGTGGTAAAAAACGTTTGTTTGTTTTGTTCAGTGATAACAAAGTAGTAGTTAAATTATTTAGGTTGGGTAATTATTCTTACGGTTGGGGTCACCGTGGGTGACCAGGAACTCCACCATCTTGTTCATGGCACCCATGAAGAAGATCAGCCTCAGCTGGGTCATTGCCATGGTGATGAGACTCCACAGTAAGATGGGAGAGCACACAGAGTGACAGAGTGGCACTGCGTCTGAAGGAGGAAAGAGAGAGAATGTGTGAAAACAGCCTTTAGTTCAGGTAGTGAACTACTCATGGAGTCACTCCAACAACTCAGCCAAATTGTTACAGTTCACTTCCCTGGAAAACTCCCAGAATGCACAGTTTCTCTTTTATTTTTCAAGGCACTTTTGTACCTAACCCTGGAGCTGGCATTACATTATTACCATGTAAAACGTCAGAGGTTTAATGACAGAAACTGATACATCAGTGTCCTAATTTATGGTGTAGTTATTCACTACAACAAGGAGCCATTTGGAAAAAGGGAAGGAGCACAGTGTGAGACAGATGGATGAGACTAATGAAAGCATAACACACATGATGAGTGACACTTTCAGTTGAAGCCTCAGGGAGTTTCACACAGCACTAAATGAACCAGTTTCACCATAATAAAACAAATACAAAACTAGTGTAATAGAATTCGTAGAATAATTAATTCAAGTTCTCAGTTATTCCAAGGTAAAATGTCTATTCATGTTGTTCCACTGGATTGCAGATAGATTGGTATTGTTACTGGTTTATGTGTCTTTTAATCATAAGAGCTTTTGTTGTAAAGTTTGCAGTTGCCTGGCACACAGTCTGAGGCTTTAGCAACAGGCACTGTGTTTTTTTTCTGTGAAAGGTATGAGATTAGTCCATCGGTTATAACGTCTCCCTTATTTAAGAGACAAGTTTTACACTTTTAGAAGATATGCATGCTTGCTTGTTTCCAAGCGTTAGATTAGAAAATTGAATCCACTGTCATATTTGTGTATTAATTATGGAGTTAGAGCCAGAAGGCGGTCAGCATAGCTTAGCATAAAGACTGGAGGCAAGTGCAAACAGCTAGCCTGGCTCTGTCCAAAGTTCAAACATACAACAACTAGTTCCTCTAAAGCTCACAAGACATTGTTTGTAGTTTATTGAATCCTTAAGCTAGGTTTATGCTTGCTGTAGTGTCTCTAATGTCATCATATCTTTTGCGTCAAGTGTGAAGGTTCTGAAAGTTGCCTTAGTGCTTGGGCCTGCACCTCTGAGTTTTTGTAACAACACACCCACTGTGCATACTGCAGTTTTGAGTTTAACATGGATGCCTTACAGGGAAGACTGGCCCAGTAGGTTCGCCTATACAGACTCTACAGAATCTCTATAACACTTTAATTATTAAAAGTTAATTAAACTTAATTTCATGTAAATTGGATAGTTCATTTTTTTAATGATTATTTTAAGATTATTATTATTGTATTATTGTCAATGATAATGTTTCTTACCCTGGGTTGTGCCTTTGGAGTCTGTCTGTTCGGGTTCTGGCTGCTGAGCTCCCATCATGTCTTCCATAAGAGTCACATGGGTGACATACGACTCCCCAGTCACCTTGTCCTCTGTCACAACTCCGCTCAGCTTCACCTTTTTACTGATAAGAAAAGAGAAAGACAATAAAATAACTACAGCCCTTACCAAATGAAGAAAACCTGTCACCATCTCAAAAACATGTGAACCTGCAGATTAGTGGACATTATATCCATGATTACTTTACTCAACATCTGCTTTCAAGTCATGGAGTGCTGAACATGGACAGGGTTCAGCATGTATGTGGTCAGTAAATTTGATGACAGTCTACTTATGGTGGCATCATAACAGAGGTCATGGGGTTACCAGAATCATGATGAATTATCCTCTGATTACTTAGAAGAGCGGAGGGGTGGACTCAAGTCACATGACCTGGACTTGAGTCAGATTTGATTCACAAATTTGATGACTTTAGACTTGACTTTACAGCTTTAAGTGTTTGTTTTTGGGGATAACGAGCTGTTGGAGAAATGGTCAAATGGGACATTTTTTGGACTAACAGGGCTTTAGAATTTTAGGTCGTCGGAATGATGGGCGGCCCCCAAAAAGGATACCAAAGATAATTTCAATCGTGTACAAACATCACATGTTGGTCAGCAAAAAACAAATTGCAGTATGCAAAACTAAAAATTACAGATTGGAGATGCAACAACTTAAAATTTTGTTCGACACTGAAAGTTGCACAAAGAACAGTACATCAAGGCTAATATTAACAATGCTAGCGAGCTAATGCTCAGCTAACGTTACCGTAACATTTTGCAAACTTATTTTAACAAATTTCAAAAAGCACTTTTGATTTTTGTAAATTCAAGTCATTATTACTCTGTTGTTAAAATGACAGAATGTTTGGCGAAGAGCGCATTATGACTTCTTTGGGACTCAAAACTCAAAGTTTAAGACCGAGGACATGACTCGGGACTTGCCTGTCTTGATTTGGGACTTGACTCTGGACTTTGGTGCAAAGACGTGAGAATTACATGTGACTTGGTTCCACCTCTGGTGAATAGTCATTAATTTTCATGGCAGTCTAGCCAGTAGTTGCCTACTTATCTCTGTTTTCTCATGGTCCTGACTGACACAAGCTCAGCAGATGTCCCTTCCCTTGTGTATTTACTAAGTGCAATCGCCTGTTTACTTGTCACAGCTGTGCACAGTAATCTCATTAAGCCTTACATACATGTATGTATTTACTCCCTGTCCTCTGTTCAGTCAGTGGCATATTATCCTCTATGCTACCTGCATGATTGTTGCCACAGTCAGAGGCTGTGTTAGTGATTCCACAGTCTCTGCTCTGCTCCTTCTCCCTGCTGTCGGGTAGCTACATGAGGCCAAACCAGTTAGAGCCACAAATGTGACAATCATGGTGTGGTTTTCACAGCATGCCATCAAGCCAATATTTGAGGAGTGACATGTCTGTACATGCCAGTGAATTACTGTTAGAGGATGGAATTAACCTGAAATAGTACCTGGGTTGTGGAAACTGTAGATTAAGAGAAATTCATTTGATTCGTCTTTTGTCATGTTTCCTTAATTACTTAGCGTTATAGGATTTCACATGCTCACACAGTAAGCTATGACAGTGTCATCATCGCCACAAAAATGCCCTAGCACCCTTGATGTGATGTGTCCAGAGCCACTTTGTGTAGAATATCAATGTGTTTATAGGACGTAGAGCGCACTGACGTGTATCTGACGTCTTCAGGTGCAGGGAAGGATTCAACAGGCCAGTTTACAAAGCAGTTGACGAAGACCATGCAGGCCATGCCAGACCAAACCCACATGAGGACGCGGAATGACACGCCAAGGTCATAAATCACCTGGAGTTGAAAAACAGAAAGGAAGAGGAGGGTTTGGGAGAGAGATGGGTAGAAGAGCGACGAGGACAAGGATGAATAAAGGAGACAGGGACAGGGAAAATATGTTAAAAATTTAGTGTAGTAAAACTGACCTTGTTGCATTATTGCATTACATTTAACTTTAACAGCTTCCCCCTTCTACCTCCCCATGGGCACTTCTGTATCCATTTAATCACTAATCTATTCCTCCTTCTTTAGATTCGATTTATTTTCATTCCTCCTGACATCATCTCCATTTCCAAACCTTTCTTCCCTCCTTCTGTCTTTTGTTAATGCTCCTTTAAAAACAAAACTTGATAAAACTGTGCACGTTAGTTAATGACAGCAATCCTAGGTAAGTATTTTGTGATGATTAAGTTGTATTGAAAGTTAATCTATGCTTTTTCAAGTTGTCCAACAGTTCAGCCAGGTTTGTACATGCGTGCATGTGTGGTTGTACCTTGACACCAGGGAAGGTCACGGCTGAAGAAGCATAGGAGCCAATCATCAGGGAGAGGACGGTTGATCGTATATTTCCAAACATGTTAGGCAGCTAGATGAGAGACAAAGACATTAAAGAGAGAGGAAACTTGTGTAATATCAAACTAATAATTGAACCACCGTCCCTATCAGTCAGCAGTAAGTGTGGAAAACACTGTGGAAACACTTTTTCTAAATCTATTAATCAGCTGTGACCCCTGTTAGGAGAGAGCTAATGTTCATTCTCAGTTATCCAAATGCACTTTCAAAGCGTACCCAGTAGGCGGTGCTGCTGCATTCTTTTAATCACAAGCTTCTTATGTGAGGGGTGAAAATTGAGCTGATTAACACACACACACACACACACACACACACACACACACACACACTGTTCCTGTGTGACAGTCACCCGTCCTTTTGTCATAGAAAGTTGGCATGTGCCAGTGTGCATGTGAAAATTCTCTGGCCATGCAGATGGTGTCTGAGTTTTGGAGAGTGTGAGAGTGTGTGACTACAGACTCACTCTAACTATAGCCGCAGCTGGAGCGCTGCCAATCACACAGCAACTGCATGTGTCTCTGTTCACACTACAGGCCTTCATGTTGAGTTTAAATTTACTGCTCATATCAGATTTTTTGCACGACTGTTCATTTCTATTTGAGAGTGTCACCAGTAGCATATCTCATATACCAGTTTGAACTGAAGCTGTGTCAAAAACACAAAGGCTTCTGTTTTTTGAAGTGTCCCTATAGACTGAGACAACTATTACCACCGTCAGAAATGTTGGATGATAAACGACAGCATGTTGTTTGTTAGTGCTGGGAATTATGGTTCTTTGAAGGGAGCCAGATCTTATGGCTCTGTTCTTTTCCGAGAGCCGTTCGAAAGAGGTTGCTACTGGCATAACATACAAAAGTCTCACCATGTTAAAATCAAAGTGAAAAGTTTCTGGATTGTATTTAAGATATATTTCATAGGATCATCCTATTATTCTGTCTAATTTACCAAAAAAAAGGCAGAAAAAAGAAATCAGCTCTCAGACAGGAGCTGGCTCATATAGGCGGCTCATCTGCAACACATTACTACTTTTCCTGAACACAGCAAACTAAATGGCAACCCAGCTTGTAAGCTTATGACATATCTTGTATGTAAAGTTTTGTCTTGAGGGTGGTGCCTAGTCCATTCTCATTTCCACGTCATTAAATACAGATACTTTGTCACGCCCTGTGTGATCATACACGATACTGACAACAAAGGTAACCACTGAGCAAATGCACGAGACTTCCCACTGACTCCAATTTAAACCCAATCGCTGCAATATTTGACGCTGAAAACAACTAAGAGCAAGAAAGTCCACATAGGTTGGGAGGGAGGGGAGGTGGATGCCTCAAGGAGAACAAGACTTTCCCAAGGAAACAACAGTCTGTGTCCCATGTGAAACCAAAAGTCACCTTTGTTTAAATCTAACGTTAGATACTGTATTTTATGTATGGTCATTGCACAGTGATGTTACTCACGTGACGTATTTATGTCACGTTTTGTTACGTAACATACCTATTCTAACTCAAAACATGATCTTTTTGTAAACCTTACCAAGCAGTTTTGCTGCCTAAACCTGATCAGAACTGTTTTTATCATGTGTTACAATGTGTTTCAGCTGTGTGTCACACAGACACACTAAAGGGTGACTAGTGTGTTGCTGTAAGACGCCAAGGGGAGTGACAAAGCGTCGGCAATTGACCTCCAAGGAATGAGACAGGGCTGCAGCACCAAAGCAAAGTGCACAGAAAAACCAAAAGGAAAGGCTCCTTTCTATGGGGAGCAAGGTACTGTATGTTCATATTAGGGCTATGGTTATTTAAAAATTAGGTTTCAACAAATTAAATCACAAATGAACAATCAACATGGATTTGTTCATTTGTGGTGCCTTTGTTGCCTTACTTGAGTGACAAGCTCATGTTACTGTAAGGCAGTTTAAAAAGTCGGCAAACAGTCTTACCTATATTGATAGCTTTTCTATTTATGGTGTCAAATCCGAAATGCTTCCACACATGACCTCTTAGATGGTTTGTCACTAGCACAGCTCACTAGCTTTTCTCCATTTTGTACTGGCAAAGATAGCAAACGGAGCGGTGTGTCAGATGGACAGTGGCTACATCAGGATTGCCTCCTGCTGTAGTACACAGCACTTATACACTGTGTACTTTGATATAATTCCACCTATGAATGATCATTTGATGTTTAAATGAAAAATGACTGCCCCATTTTACATCTTAAAATCACTGCCATGTTTATCTGTGACGTGCTGATGTAAGATAGTTAATAAGGTCAAGTTTAAATCCAGCTAAATTTTATAATAGTGCTGTTATATGTGCCCTATTTCCATTCATTTTGTGTGTTAAAGTGATATCTATGCTGTTGAGATGCTATTAGTTCAGAATACGTCAGTTTGAAGGGAGCGACAGTGCCACCTGCTGTCAAAACTCAGTATCTGCTTAAAGTAGTAAACAGCGGAGGATTGTGGGCAATTTTCAGAGCTACGGAAGATTTTCCTTGAAATAGCTACTAGCTAACATGTTGATGTCTGAGGACAAATGTAAAGTTAACTTATTAATAAAGCATGTAGAAGTTGAGCTGGCTTTGTCTGTATATTCATTGTTTGTCATTAAGTTCGCCATGTTTTTATTGAGTTAAATATTCGTTGTTATTATTTTGCCGCTCTTAAACACTGTCTGTTGTGCTGTTAGCTAACAGTAGCATGATGCCGCCTTTCCAGGTGGAGCACGAGCGGGTTGTCCACATGAGGTCACCAAACACCGCTGTCCTTTGCTAGTTATCCCAGACTTATGAGGTTTTCCATGAGGTGAATAAACATGCCTCTTACCACCATCTACTGCTCCAGGTGGTTCTTTAGAGCAGAAGACGTCACACACAGGTCAGTAAAACATAGCATAAAAAAGCCACCTTATTCCTAGCTCCCATAATACCTTGCGTGAATTATGGGCGCAACTTCCGGCGTTGAACCGGAACGTTTTAACGTTTTTTTCCTTTTCAACTGCGCATGCTAGCAATTAGCTTGCCCCGCCCTGTTAAACTATTGTAAACCTTAATATGGCCTGAGCTAGCGCAAGGTAAACATCTGCTCCTTTTAAAGATGATTTCTGACGACTTTCAGCAAACATGTAACATAATTAATTATTAACTGTAGCTCCATATAAATTGAATAAATGTCATGTTTCCTAGCTAATCCTCCACTCGTCTGCGTTTACGACGCAGTTTACAGTTTTTTTAACTTCTGATTTATTAAAAACTGTTCAGAGTGACACATGATGCTGAATTTAGCAGCAGACTTAAGTAATAGTAATAAAAATTAGTAGTAAGAGAATAACTTTTGGCACTTTATATGTGATATAAAGGAAGTGCAGTAAATCATTCTCAGTCCTAATGACTACATCTTTCAAGTTATGTTGCTGAGTTTATTTTATAACAAGCAGTTTTCTAGTATAGGTTGAGAATGAAGTCAGACGGGGAAAGACAGGGATATCATGTACTGACGTTGAGTGACTGACCTGTCAGTCTAGGTGTCATTCTCTTCTGCAACTTCTGATTTAATTATTGTCTCGCTATGTCTCGTGAAACTGTTGTGGTTTCTCATATCAATGGTACCTTTGGCAACAGCAACAATCCCTTTTTGTTCTGGTCTATGTTCAACACGCAGTTGCTGAAGACAAGAATTTGGCATAGACTGGTTGTTGGTCACCACAGACACGGACAGTGCATGCTAAGATCACATTAGTTAAATATTTGTTTAAAAAAAAGTAAATCAGTATTTGCTAAACTGAAGGCAAATTACTTGCGATAAGAACCAGTGTTGGTGGGTAGCTACCAAGAGTGGCCACTGGGATTAACCACATATAGTCTATGGGACTAATTAGCTTACTGCTACTTCCGCTATGTCACTGGAAGTTGCGCCCATGAGTAGTAGTCGTAGTAGTAGTAGTAGTAGTAGTAGTGCACTCAGGAATAAGGTGGATACAAGTAGGAACATCCCTGAAATATCATTTACAAGGTAATATCAAGCTAAATTAGCTAACATTAGCTTGTACCCAAGCAAGTCAGACTGTAAGTAAGACCAGTGGGATGGGAAAAAGGTGTCATTTTAAACAAGTCTTGGTAAAAATCCAGGATATCGTTTCTTCCTTTTCAGCCCAGAAAGTTTTATGCATGTAGTTTCCATCAAGACTTCATCACTGTGACAAATGCTTTATGTTATAGTTTTAAATTATAGGCTAACCAAACTTCCTCTTTTGCCCCGACATGTCCACTTTTCACATCCAGTCCGGGGCGTGTTTATAAATAGATGATAATGTCCGGTTTTCCTTGTGTGTGTGTGTGTGTGTGTGTGTGTGTGTGTTAGAGTGCGGCACAGGCCGCATATTTCTGTCCGAACCCGACAGTCATTCTGTTTTGTTATGTCCGAAACCGAACCGAGCCCGACATTATTTAATTATTGAAGGACTGAGTTTGTGTCACACAGTTGTTACAGTTACAGGCTATTTAACAGGCCAGGCATGCGCCGTGGGTGCTCTGTGGAGAGGGAGACCTTTCATGTTTGAGACGGGAGTGGGCGGTGGGAGGTCCGAGGCTTCCAGTGAGGGGAGAGGGAGAAATATATAACAAAATAAGATAAAATAGGAAAAACGTGTCTCCCTCTTTTATTTTATTTTCACCGTTTAATCAAGGCGGGCGGCGGGAGGTCCGAGGCTTCCAGTGAGGGGAGAGGGAGAAATATAACAAAATAAGATAAAATAGGAAAACTTGTCTCCCTCTTTTATTTTATTTTCAGCGTTTAATCAAGGCTGAGGCAGGCAGCGGAAGGTCCGAGGCTTCCAGCGAGGGGAGAGGTAGAAACAAACAGCCAATGTGTGTGTGTTGTGTTCAGGTGTTGTCACGTAAATAACACTCCCCAAGCAATAAACAGGACAGACAATAGGATTTTATTTATTTTTACACTACATTTTCACGGAAAGCTGACCGAATCCGACCTGAGCCCGAATACAATTTATACATTTT